CTCTTTTAGATAGTTTCCTTTAAAATATCTGATATGTTATGACTTACCAAATCTGCGTAGAACAGTAGAAATCCGAGGTGATTTTCAAAGCAGCCACCTAGTGTCCCAGGTGTAAATCCAGAGAGAGAGAGAGACAGAGAGAAACAGAGAGAGAGAGAGAGAGAGAGAGAGAGAGAGAGAGAGAGAGAGAGAGGAAAGAGAGCGTAGCCGGCTAAAGCTTAAATCCAGCCACGTGTTCCCTCTTGTGCCGAGTCAAGGCTTGGGTCTGGCTTCCTTATGCTCCAACCACATGCGTTGGCTTTACAGTCAGGGCCCTGTTCAGCAGGGCAGGTCTGAGTTGTTTGTCACACCTGTAACACCAGCTTTAAGAAAGCAGGATTTAAGCAAGCAGCTCACAGATAGTCCAGCCTGAGGTCAAGCAGACCTTGACCCAGGCTAAGAAGCCGCCGCTCGGACTAAGAAGCCGATCGCCGCCGACCGCCACCTGCCTGCCACCGCCGGCCGCCTGCCGCCCTTGTGGGAAAGCGGACCTGCCGCCAAGCCAAGCGGTTTTTACTGGATTCTTGTCATGTTGGGTGGCAGATATTGATGTAACCAACGATCTTATTAAATAAGAAACCCAGAAACAATGTAAAAGAGAAAGCCGAGAGGTCAGAGCTCAGAGCTAAAATCTCACCCTTCCACCTGCGGTGTCCCAGCTTCCCGAAAGAGACCTATTTCCTGTCTGCTCATCTATTTATAGTATTTTGTTCTGCCTTCTCATTGGTTGTAAACCCAAACACGTGACTGCCTTGTCACTGTCAGAATGTACAGCCCCCTAGGTCTTAAAGGCATATGTCTCCAATACTGGCTGTATCCCTGAACACACAGAGATCTATGGGATTAAATGCGTGTGCCACCACTGCCACACTCTTGCTATGGCTCTAATAGCTCTGACCCCCGGGCAACTTTATTTATTAACATCTAATCAAAATCACATTTCAGTATAATTAGAATACCACCACACTACTATAGAGCTATAGTAATAAAAAGAGCTTGGTACTGGTTTAAAAACCGACATACAGACCAATGGAATCGAACTGAAGACCCTGACATTAATCCAGGCACATATGAACACCTGGTTTTTGACAAAGGAGCCAAAACTATACAATGGAAAAAGAAAGTATCTTCAAC